CCTTGACAGCTGAGGCAGCCAGCATTTTTTTTTTGGATTAGTTTCAATGCAATACAATGGCTTGTCTAAAAGGCCCATTGAGTTGGGGAGGAAAAAGAAATAATAGAAAAAAGGAAGCAGCAGGCAGGCAAGACCATTCTGACAGTTGATATACACGCCAGGCTATGCTCTGATGCCTTTTTCCTATTGAAGCAATTAAAATGTTACAACAAGTAACATGGAAATTAATATCTAACCATCTTTCAAATGCACTTGTTATACTGTTGCTCAGTCGTAGAGTCCTTCCTGCTCCCAGATGTCCACAAGAAAATCTATCATTTCCTGTCAATTTTCATGACGACACAAATCAGGTAAACATGTTTATGATTATAATTTATATGAGCTTGCTGGAACTGAGACTTACAGCAAGAGGAATAGGCTGCGGGAATGGCTTGTTGCTCCCAAGTAAACTTTCATAAGTCGCATTCCAACTGCAAAGCCAGAATTGTTTAACCATGCAGAGACAATGAGTGCTGACAAGATAAAGGAAAAAGAAGTTCATAAATGATCAACGGGTTATATCCCAGAAGTGGTTTTCCCTCAGTACACACAAGATGCCATTTCGTACTTTACAAACCTAAGATACAGGTTCTACAATGGCAAGGATCTGGATCTAGTTAAAATCGGGATGCTTGACGCAACTCTTAAGACACTGGAAAATTATGCAAGAACTATGCATTATTGTAGATATCACTCAAGTTTGAGGAAATACGAACATTAACCTTATTGTTTTCTCTCCTTTTTAGTTTTCAAATCTTCAGGCAATAAATGTTGGGAAACTAAATGTCAACATACACAGCGAACAACAGCAGGGGACAAAGATGTGACTTAACAGAGGAAGCCAACGTAAAGGGGTGGAGAGAAAGACCAATCATAGATAGTAAAAATAAAAAAGCTCACTTTTACAGAGCTAATAGAGGATTTGGCTGTAAATTAAGCACAGTGACATGATACGAATCACCTAGCCAACCCCACACAGGTAAAGTTGTTGTTAATATTGCATTTATTCTTTCAAAAAAATTTAAGGTTTTGTAGCACAAATTATCTTTGAAGGTCAAAGCCTGCCAAAAAGTGAGAACAATTAAATTTGCTCCCTTCTCCACAATATTGGAAACTGAAAATCCATTTTGAAGAAATAAGGATTTCTTCCCTTTTTCGTGTGCTTTTGCATGGCCCCAATGAAAGAAATGAACCATGATGATTAAGGAAGGTCACCACTTAAACTTAGAAAAGTGGAAAATGATGCATATCAAGTAATTCCAAACAAAATGCTGACTTAGATGCCTTCTAGAATGTAAACAATACGTAGAAAAAGTTGGAATTAATTAACACCCTCTATCTTATTTTCATAACAGCAAATACACATATCTGGTCATAGATCATTTTGGAAGTGAATGAGAGTTCATAGAAAGAATTTACTAGAAGATTTTAAAAATACACTAATTTAATATATTGTGAGAAGAACTCACTTTAGTTTGGGTTCTCGACCCTGTCGTGGCCGATTTCCAGACTTCTTGTTTCCTACCCAGCGCTGCCTGGTCTGATTCCAGAGAAGAAGGCCTGCATCCAAGAGCAGTTATAAGATTGTGCAAATACATCCTAATCTTGTTGTAGTGCCCAAAGGGGTCGAAACAGGACTCCCCAGATGGGAAGGTAATCCTTATGAAGTTTAACTGTTCATAAAGCCGTCAGGTACATAAGTTAATTCAACCAAAGTAACTTAAGAACTGAGAACTTGCCATGGTTAACAAATTCAGAGGGGGCATTAGCACTTGCAGCACTGCCATGCAGATCAAGTGTCTGGTTGCTTGTGCTGATTGATGAGATGCTTCCTTGTGACTGCACTGCACTGTTATCCATATCACAAGTGCTAGTGGTCCAGAAATCTTCTGATATACTGGCTTTCCTCACTGTCTGTTCTTGAACTTTTAATCCTTTTGATGACTCATTCACCAAAGGATTGAAAGAGGGCCTCTTATAGCATCCTAGACAACCACTGCTCTGTTACAAATCACACATAATCATATAAATGATTAGTACCAGCCACCGAAAACTCTAAAGCTGAACCTAATACCCAGACAATAAGTTCATAAGGAAAACATCAAATGATAATTACATGAATTCGAGAGGCCACATGAAAGCATACTTTAAATGTCTTGTAAAGGATAATAAACAGCATGAGAAAACATCTGTTACAAAATAACATAGTTTGCTAATGACCATCTTAAACAAGTACATCAAACAATAACAAAGCCTTTTTTACCCACCACATGGGGTCAGTTAAATTTCACCATTTTATTCAGTTTAAAACCATATCCTAATTACGATAATTACAATCAAGTTCCCTTCTGATAATTTCCTCCCACATCTTATTTGGTCTCTGCCTCCCCCTTCTAATATATTCATTCTCCATTAAATCGCATAATCTAATAAAAAGCATTCGCAAACCTTCTTCTTGCATGTCCAAAGCAGTTTAAATGTCTCTCTCATTTCATCCTCAATTGGCACAAGCCCATCTTCTTGAATGCAATCATCTTATAGTCCTCACTTTTTTGCGTCCATTGGAGGATCCTCATCTCAGCCACACTAATTTTTATATATGTTTATAGTTAAGAACCCAACATTAGCTATCATAAAGGCAATGCTGGTTTTCTAGCTGTCTTGTAGAACTTTCCCTAGAGCTTAAGAGGTATTTGTACACAAAATTTCTAAAGCACTTCTCCATTTTGGCCACTCCCGTTGTGGATCCTGTGGATAACATCTCCATCAATGCCACCATCATTTTATATGATTGAGTCAAAGTACCGAATCTGTTCAATTAGCAACATGTTTTTTTCTCCGGTTTATTAGTTGCTCCCATTAACATTCCTTCTTTCCTGAACTCGCATGCTATGTACTCTATCTTAAACCTACTTTATCAAAAACCTTTCGTTCTAATGTTACCCTCCAGAACTCAAGCCAGCTTTAACCCTTATTTTAGTCTCATTTAGCAGAACCATACTATCAACAAAAGCGTAAATCAAAATATAGTAATTCTGATACACCTGTTAGGTTCATCAACTAGCAAGACAAAGAGATTAGGATTCAAAGCCGATCCATGGTACAACAAACTTATTACTAAGCAGAACTATTCCCAACAATGCAACATTTTTAAACTTGAATCCAACGCTTGAACTAGTTGGAACAAAGCTAATTGGCTGTAAACCCTACAAGGAGCCCTTAAAGAAGTAAGCTTCCTTCCAAGGGAGTATGCTGGCAGTTTTATCAGAAAGCTCAACCAACCAAATCTATGACTGAAACCATACATCGACCTTGAAGAATAATGCCCAGCATTGTAATCATATTACTTGGAAGCTGAGAAAGCTTAAATGCATCAACTACTAAATCAACTTTTGTTTTTCTTTTCCAAACACAACCACAGTGGGTGCAAAGACACTAGTTACAACAAAGACTAACAATCAACATAGAAAATTCTACACCATTACATTATTTACAGAACCAAGCTAAGCATGTGAATTCCTAAATAATATAGAACGGGGCAGGATGAAAACAATATTCAAATTGGGTTTCATTTCTTTTCACCAAAATGTTTCAAAGTGAATGGCAGAAAACTCAAGACTTAAAATATGGAAAAAAAAAAAAAAGTGCTTCATTCAGTCAAACCCACATTAAGCAAACAAAGATGGTTCCAATATACACACAAATCCAATTAAAAAGAAATAATGAAAACCCAAAGCTTTCAATAAAAGCCCCATAAAAAAACAAAAGTATAAGAGGAAAAAACAAACCAGAAAATTACCCCATATATACACAAAACAAGAACTAACAGGAACCGAGACAGATCTGTCAATAAATGGGAATCTGATTTCCTGAAACGAAAGATCAAAAGAACCCTTAGAGGAACCCAAAAAAGCAATTAAATTTATAGAAATGAAACCAAAAATTTAATAGAGACATAGCAACAAAAGATATTTTATATTTTGATTAATTTTTCCCTTGGGAAAAGAAAACAAATTTACCTGATAAACAGTGTCGAATTGGGTTTTTCTTGTTTTGTTTGGTGTCTCTATCTTTTCCTTTCCTGAAATTAAATCCTGAAAAAAAAAAATTGTCCTTCTTTCTCCTGATTATGCTTCTCAGATGTGGCTTTGGAGCCTCTTATTTTTTATTATTATTTTTTTATATATATTCTTCTTCTTCTTCTTCTTCTTCTTCTCAATCGTCTTTTCTAGTAATTTGGGAAAATTGAAAGAAGAAGAAAAAAAATTGAAAAAGGTGAGAACATAGCATTGCAGAGGTTACATAGATGAGAGAGTTTAGTTTAAGCTTTCCTGAGGTATTCCTTTTACCCTTCTTCCTTTTGTTTTTCCAGCACCAAACTCATGTCATGGCCCAGTAAATTAATAAAAATAAATATAAAAATTATTATTACTACTATTTTTGTTTTTGGTGATCTTTTTTTAAATTATAAATATTATATAAAATAAAAAATTACATGTAAATTAAATTAACTTCTAACTACTAATAATTGAACTCTTGACTTGAGTGAAGATGGGGAAACTTTATTTTTCTTCTATAATATTTCCTAATTGATGTTATTTTCAACTACTCTAACTTTCTTTATTAATTAAGAATGTCAATAGTTAGGTTATCTGAACTTAAATCTTAGTATTTGATTGGATACTGATTAAATTTTTTAATTGTTATCTAAATCCATATACATATATCTAGATAATATTTTATTAAAGTCAATTAAATAATCAATTTTAATAAATTAAAATCTAATTCATAAAAAATAATTTAAAATTTAAAAGTATTAATAAATTTTAATAAGTATTAAATTAAATATAAAAATTTACAAATAAAAAATAATATATAATTTAAACATTATATTAAAAATAAGTATTTATAATTAGATTCAGCTAGTGGGTAGCTTAAAATCACTTTTTGAACCTTACTCAAACTCATGACAAATAATAATTTTATTATCTTAATTTTATCCAAACCGCGACTAAAGGATATTTTAATCTTATTTAATCAAGTAGGGTATTGCAGAGTACTCACTTGCAATGTACCCATTAACATCCTTAAATACAAATTAATTTTAAAATTTTAAGCAAAATGACATTCAAATATTTAAAACACATGCATTCTGTTTTTTAAAAGAAGGTACACCTATTGCAATATTTTAAAAGCAGATGAAATGCATTTAAAATATTTATTAGGACATAATTTCCACAAAAGAGTGTTGAGAATTTTTTAACATTGGCATGCCTACCCTCCATTATTATTATTTGGATGCTTGCCAATGTATATTTATAAACAATGTTTTCTTTTTGTGTATTTTTCTGTGACTTAAAAAGCCTCAATAGGTAATATATGGTAAATAAATTACATAATATGTAATAGATAAGGGAAGATTAACATAAGTTTTAATCCGCATTCGATATATATTTTATTTTTATCATGGTTTATAATAGCTTCGTAGGAAAAAAGAATTTGAATTTAGTTATTTTATTTAAATATGTTTATCATTAAATTAAATATTCAGGTTCGAGTTCGAATAAATATTTAATAAAATACATTTCATGTGGAAATAACCTAAGGCATTGACATTATGAGGGTAAAATTTGTCATATTGTTGGAAGAATTAAAGCATTGGACTTAGACCAAACTTATTTAAGTCCATCCCAAGTTCCAACTTATTTAAATTTGTCATATTGCTCATGTTAAATTGCAAAAAATAAAATAAAAATAAAGAAGTGGAATGCATAATTGGCACCTACTAGGAAATATAATAATTGCATAAAAAAAAATTAAATACAGTCACAGCAAAAGATACAACACCTAATACTAATAATTTTGGGGTGGTTATTATCAATTTAATGTTGATATACTTATATAAAGTATGTATCTATTTATCAATATATATTTATAATTAAAATAAAAACAGCAATTAGTTCAATTTTTCTGATAATTAAATAGATCCATCTAAATTTTTTATTTTGTTAAAATAAAAAATAATAAAATAGATGCAATAAATGGTCATAATGTTTGGCTGTATCCTAACTAACCACTTATCCACTATTTAATTAAACTCCATAAATTAATAATTAACATAGACCCCAAAAAGAAAAGGAAAATTCAAAGGGTAGTGTTTGGTCAAGTTGGTCAAAATAGTTGGGCTTGTTTGATTTCTTCTCTTATACGAACTTCCACTCTCAATAATTGAATTGGCTCGACGAATTGGTCAGTAACAGAATGTTTTTTTTCCCGTTAGATTTTTTTTTTCACAATTTTATGTTAAGTGTTTAATTTTATATTATTAAATTTAAATTTTAAATTCAAAATCTTATATTAACACTTGATGTAAAATTATAAAAAAAAATTAAATGAGGCAGTAGATTGGAACAAAAAATTTCTGTTCAGGTGACAATCAAACTTTCATAAAAATTATAATAATTGGCTATGTAATGTGGTCCATTTATTTTTGTTTGGTCCACAATGTACTAACTAAAAATACCCATCATGGCAATAGTTGACAAAATCACTATAATCTTGTGGGTTGAATTGAATTGAATGAGTCGTGTAAGCAACTTAGGTACCAGACACAGAATTGCCATGCCAATTTGCAATTGGATTGTGAATTTGTAATTAAGTAATTTCCATTTTATCTTTTTGGGTGCTTTTTTTTTTTTTTTAA